GGGATGAGTTCTTGACCATATGGAAGGCCGGACTTTCAGTGCTAAGACTGCAGTGGGGCAGTGAAGAAGTGCCGGTGCGTCCAGGGCAACGCTATTCCCGTCGTACCTGACTGACGACTGTCTTCGCAGAGCGAGGTGCGCGAGATCTGGTTCAACTTGCTCAAGGGCCATGCGAAGCCGCTCCTCGGTATGTGCCTTGATGCATTGGCTTCGGCATTCGGCTGACGCAATAGCAGACGCGGGAGACTACGATGGGTTGGCAGAACTGTCAACACGAGCACGGGACGTCCTTGTTTGGATTCTGGACAAAGACAACTTCGACTTCACGATGCGGAAGGAGGAACTGGGTGAGGAAATACCTACTTCGCCAGTCAAACCTGGCTCCCGCAGGAAGAACATGGTCGACGAGCCTCTCCCTGAGCACCGATGGAACCACGCCGTCAAACTCTTCCTCGTCCGGGACTTGTTCGGCATCACTCGTGCAGTCTTTCCCCTCGATATCTTCGCGGGCCTTGCGGAGTCTGTGCTGCAGCATCTCAACAGCAATGAGGAGGACCTAGTTGGCGACCTCAGGAGTACCGACGAGGTACGCGAGCAGTGGGCTTCGCTTTGTGCCGAGGCAGCTTTGGTATGCGACATCGGCTTAATTCAAGCATTCTGGACCAACAAGTTGGGCCGTGGGCTGCGCTGCTGCGACTGGACTGCGGATGTCCGCGCTTTGGTATGGCAAACGTTCCTGGAGCGCTGGGAGGACGGTGCGAAGAACTGGGAGGCGGCCATTGTCCTTCTCAGTGTCCCCTTTATCGAGGCCAGCGGGTGGGAGCTTGGGAGCGAGGAGTTGAACGCTTGGGAGGACTTCCTCAAGACAGCTATGAACGCCGCGCTCGACTGCGGTGTCGACGCCTCTGCCTTCCTCGACCACATCGCAGCGGCTGTCGCCGCTGGCCAGGCCCCTGGAGCCACGTCAGCTGTGCGTGTCGCGGACTTGCTACTGTCCCAACTCGACTTTGCGGACGCGCGCGAGGTTCCGATGGAGTTGTTCGAGTTCACGAGCGATACCCTTACCGTGGCTTACCCGCCGGCGCCTCGACACAAGGTCATGTGCATGTGGCTGATCCGCTCGCTCACACGGGTCATCGACGCTTGCCCGGCAGAGCTTTGCTTCTCAACATTGCAGACGCTCTCGGAGGGAGTGTGCACATGGATCGCGGATGAGTACGACGACTGCACGGCAGAGGAGTACTCATCGGACGTACGTGTTACCAACATTACCCTGTTCAGTATGAAGGCTAACTGTCTTTTGCAGATTCTCCCGCTGTACCAAACCATACTCGTGAGCATCCAAGGACTCGGAGTCAATGCCCACTTCTTGGAGACGCTTGCACCTCTCCTTGAGGCACCCTTCCGTGGTAGGCCAGATAAGCATGTTGGCACGGTTGAGGCGTTTGCAGACTTCTGGCAAGAGACATACGCGTCGATCCCGGAACCGCAATCTGGTTGGCCGGAGCAGATTATGCGGTGCTTGGAGGCCGTTGCGCGCGAGCAGGAAGACGAGGCGAGCGTGGAGAACCTCACGGCGCTCAAAGACGATTGCCATAGCCCATGCGGCAGTGATCTCGGAGCGCGCCCAATCGAGGTCAAGCGCGAAGAGGATTGTGAAAGCGAGGACGAGGGTTCAATTGTGGTACCTTCGCCTCAGACGCTCTCTCGTCTAGCTGGGCCGTTGCTCAAGCCTACGGTGTTCTCTCGTGCAAGCACTCCCGAACCGTCACAGCTCGTTGAACCCACTACGCCTACCCCCAAGGCTACCTCTCGTGTCCCCGTATTCAGCACTCCTCATTCACACAAACCTGCTCTGAAGGACGCGCAGGTCGCGGCCGTTGGAACCTCCCCCGGATCGCCCACCAGAGGTTCATTCCCTGTCGACGCCCCAACCACGCCGAAACGCGGGAAGTTTACTGAGAACGCAAGTCCTACGCGTTCCCAGGCGGGCAAGAACAAGGAGAACGACTCTCCTATCCCCCATGTTGCAAGCGCTACGGAACGATTGGCCATACGCTCTCCACTATTGCTCGAGTCCATTCTTGGCAAGCGGTCGCGTTTGGACGACGACGACGGCGGCGAGGCACAACTCGGTGATGTCGAGAAGCGCGTCAAGAGGAGCAAACTTCATATGTCGCCCCTCGCGCCCTCTGCTACCTTCATGAACTCGGTTCAGGTACATGTGGCCACTCAAGATCACACGCGCCTGACTGCACCGACGAAGGACGATGTGTCGATGAAACAAGAGGATGCCTCTGGTTCCGAATCCGAGTCCGAACCGCCCTCGCCCACCCAGTCAACGAGCTCCGTGTCTCGCAAGCGCAAGGGTGTGTTCTTGGATGCTGTCGTGGTCCCTTCGATTACGGAGGTTGTCCGGGACAAGCGCCGCTTCAGCGTCGGCGGCCCTTCGCTCTCGCTGGACAGCGGCACTCCAAACGAATCCAAATCGCACGTTCTGCGGAGGACGCGTTCCGCAACAAAGCTTCTGGGCAAACAGGCTGAGTTCCAGCGGCTGGAGAACACCCCAAAGAAGCGTCGTATGGGCCGTGCTCACCAACTCCGCGAGGAGGCTGCATCAGCAGCAATCTCCTCATCATCTCGGTCACTTCGCGATGCCCCCCTCTTTGGCAGTGGTAAGTTCCACTTCTGAGTCTGATGTATGCAATGGACGCTCATCTTTCGATGTCTCAAGACGATTCCATCATGTTGGCTTCGCCCAGCAAAATCGGCGACTTACCGCCCTCAGATGATGAACCTCACATTGGACAGATCACCCCCCACCGCCTCGTCTCGCCAGCGGTGCGTCGCGTCCAGCGCATCGACTTCAACTCGGATCCGCCGAGCGACGATTCCATCATGTCAGACAGCCCTTCGAGCGAGCGCGTCGTTCGCAAGATCGCGCGGCTAGGCAGCGAAGAGCGCCGCGACGTGCGGCCTATTCCGCTCAACCTACGCGCGCGCTCTGTGTCCGAGTTTTCTTCCTTCTCTGCTCTTGGGAGTGATCTATGATGCTCCACTTGCGCAGTCGGCCTCTATACAATAGTGTTCGTGCCCCGTTTTCTTGCAGGCTATGTTTGTCAAAACCCCGTCTCTCCATTTTGCTGCTCAGGCTGTCTGTTACACCATTACGCGCAACCTACGTACTCTCGCACTGTACCCACGCAACCATGTCCCCCATACCACCTACACTTGTTCATACCTGCCCGGAGGTCCACTGTTAGCCCATCACTTCACTGTAGAATATGTAAGTGTACTCTCCACGTACCCCTTGATATGTCCCCGTATGCGCCCATGTCGAAAGCAATGAAAGCAATTTGAGCCATCGTCACTTCGGCCATCTGGCGGTCATGCTCGTCATATGCTGATCGGGGCCGCGTTCGATGAGAGCGTCGTCCTTGCGTTTCAGAATTGTTCGTCGCGACGGGGGTGCGTGGTCTCAGCCGCTTGTAGTTTCATTCTGGCACAGCCACCGCTATCCGAACGAGCTCGCGAGATCTTCATCGTCATTGGACCTTGGCCAACGTCCACCCTCACATCGGCACTTGCGCCCTGTGCCTTTACAATGCAGAGTGAAGGGCAGAAGGCTGACCACAACTCTATGTCAACGCCGTATGTGTCGCAAAGACAGCTTCCAAGCAGGAGGGGAGTTCCACCGCTGCCGTTCAGTCGCCCAATTGCGCAAGGAGCATGAATCGCGCGTCCGGTAGCCGGCTCTGTGGTAAAGGTTCAGCAAGAATCGCGTAGGGCGCATTTGTGTCTTAACGGGTGACCCGAGCAAACCGCGCTAGAAGGGCTTCGATCCCTAGCCGAGGGACGTATATGAACCCCCTCCCAACCTGACAAGGTCCGCATCGCACTCTGCTGCTCTCTGTCCTCTCCGGCTCCCTTTCACGTCCTCCTCCTCCTCCTCTTTCGCCTCGTCCAGTCGCTCGTTTTCGCCGTCGCCGCACGCTAACGATCATACCCAGCCATGTTCGCCTCTAAGCTCACCGCCGTCTTCGCTGTCTTCGCCGCCGCCGCCACCGCGGTCTCCGCCGCCCCCGCGGCCGTCTTCTCGAAGCCGAAGACCGACATCGTCTTCCGGCCGCACATCACGTCTCCCCAGGCCGGCGCGGTGTGGCCCGTTGGCTCTACCCAGACCGTCACCTGGGACACCTCTGACATCCCCGAGGAGGCCCGGAACCAGACTGGTCTCATCCTCCTCGGCTACCTCGAGGGCGACGACACCGATGAGCACCTTGGCGTTAGTGAGTACATCGTCGGCTCCTTTTGAGTCTGTCGCTTGAGCTGACGTCGATTCGCAGACGACCCCCTTGCGTACAACTTCCCCATCACTGCGGGCTCGGCCCAGGTGACGGTCCCCGACGTGCAGACCCGCAACGACTACGTCGTCGTCCGTGCGTACATTCCGTTCGATATGTGAAGTCCTGCTCTCGCTGACGCGCGTACTCGCCCTGCAGTGTTCGGTGACTCGGGCAACACTTCGCCCAAGTTCACCATCCAGAACTCGGTCGCGAGCTCCCTGCCGAGCCTGCCGTCGCTCTCCATCCCCTCGGTGGGCTCTTCCGTCTCCACGCCCGCCGTCCCCTCGGCCGCTTCCGCCTCCACTCTCGCGACTGTCGCTACCCCCGCTGTACCCTCTGTCTCTACCACCCTCGCCTCCCCTTCGGCGTCCGTCTCTGCGGCGGCCTCTGCCTAAGGCGGCGAGTTATACCTAGTGATGCTGTAGCGGTTATGACCTATTCCGGGAGCTGTTTGGACAGTCTGCACGGACTCTCGCTAGCACATGACGGACACCCAATACATTCGTTTGCATGGATTATCGAACACACTGCGTGCCATGCAATGTTGACATCCCGAGGTTATTGAAGTGATGAAAAAAAGGTACAACATGTACGATGAACTGCCGCGACCCCGATCGCAGCACGTCGCAGGGATGGAGGCAAAAACAGAAGTACTGACGACAGTGGGATTCGAACCCACGCCCTTTCGGACCAGATGAGACACGGATGTCCTGATTCTGGCGCCTTAGACCGCTCGGCCATATCGCCATGCAAGTTGGGGCTGTTATCTGTAGCTACAATCAACACGAAGATTGTTCTATTAATAGGCCGCCACTGCGCCTATGACCTCACGCGTCAATTGATGCAGCGAGTGTCCGAATCGCTGGGAGAGAGCCTCAGCCTCGCATCGCTCGTCCTCCCATCCGCGTATAAATACCTCCTCCCCCAGCCCCATTCGCCTGCTCTCCTCGTTACCCCTTTCCCCCTCCTACCGCCACAGTCCATCCTCGCCCTTGCCTTGCTTGAATCTTGTACGAGATGGAAGCCCCTAAGCCCGCCATGACCACCGCCAGCCAACCCCAGGCTGTCCAAATGAGTGTGTACTGTACACTTCCTTTTGGGGCTGCGACTGACGGTAACCATCGCATACAGGCGTCATGAACCCGCCTGCCCGCCAAAGCACCCAGCACACTGAGGAGTGCCAGCACAAGCGCGGCCTCGCTGCCCGTCTGCGCGGTGGAGGTGCTGCGAGGGTAAGCCATTCGGCCTCTTTACCGCCGCAGCCATCTGAATCCCGAGTCTCCTGTCGCTAGGACTGCTTCCTCGGCGCCATCGAGTGCTTCCTCTGCTTCGGTACGCCTTGTTGCTTACCATGTCTTTCCAACGTTTGGCTGACATCTTTGCCTTTGCAGAGTGCTGCAAAGTGAGTCTGTACCTGTATTGCATGTTGGGCAGCTTTCCAACCCCGAATCCCAGGACTGCTGCGAGTGTGCCGCCGACATCATCTGTACGTCCCCCCATTTCTTCACAGCCCTCCCCACCGGCATACTCACGCATCTTCGGCAGGCTGCCCGTGCGAGATGTGCTGTTAATTCCCTGCGCCGACGCCCCGGCCGCGCAATGCTATGCGGTCATGAACCCCATGGAGCCCCGTATTATATGCATAGGCTCTCGAAAGCGCTTTGTTTTGGACCGTGTATTATAGACGAAGCGCCTCGTGCTGGAGTGTGTAGTGTACACCTGACGGACGGATTGATATGTTTTCATGATCATGAGGCGTTGGAGAGTGGAGAGGCAGGTGTGACGCACGTCAGGCACATACAACGTGCCTCGCAAGTGGTGGAAGCCTTTGAAGCTTGATGGCGCGCTGGACTAGAAGGTCGAACGTTGGAATGCCGGCATTGTCCATGGTCGGCACCAAACCGCCTGTGACTGCCTCGCGTTCACCGTTTCGCTACGCTAGTCGTCCAGCGTCGCGCAGCAACGGATAACCACATGACGAACATGTGTCCCCACAGCGCAGTGCCCCGAAAACGTACTTTGCCAATCTGGCCACGATGTCCCCGCGCGCGCATCATCATGCCTCGCCTCGCCCCCGGCTCTACTGCGCGGTCGGAACGGTTCTCGCCCTGCCTTCATCATCCAGCTGCACGGCTCGCACCCTCGGTCCGCCACCCTCGGTCCGAGATGCACAGACGGGGCTGGGCGTTCTGCTGAGAGCTTCCTCCGAACCGGAAGCTATCACTGACTGTAGGTAGCTAGATAGATAGCTGTCCGGGTACGAAGACGAGGGGGAGGTGGCTTCATATCTCGGAGTCCTGAAAGGCTTCAACCGCTTGATCAACCTCATTGTGTATATCCAGTGAAGTGCGGCGATGAAGCCGCACGGCGAGATAAGAGGCGCAGCGTGCGCCGTGAGCGAACCTGAGCGCCGACGAGGGCCAGCAAGACCGCGCACGAGCGGATTCAGACCGCTCCACGAGCCCGGGCGGCGGCGTTCATCAGCATCTCGCACAGTCGGGCTCACACCGAGCGAAGGCGCGGCGCAGCGCCACGTTCCGACGTGCATATGTATCCTGCAACACCACCAGTCGTCGTCTAAAAAGCGCCGAGCCCAACGTGAGTCCCAAGAAGTCCACGTGCACTCTTCGCGCCCACACACCGGTATCCGCAACATGCGTGAGTGCCCCCACAATTCCCCGTACACTGTATGATGTACACCCTTCCCGTCCCGTCTGAGGCTGCTGCACGGACGGGGTCCTGCGCAGCTCAGTGCGCGAGGACGCGCTCTCCGCCGCGCTCGCCCTCGCGCTCCTCGAGGAGGATGACGCAGAGCCCGGCGAGGATGAAGATCGCGATGCTCGCGTACACGGGGAAGGAGTGGTCGATCGTGAGGAGCGTCCCGCCCAGGATGGGCGCGATCATCCCGCCTCTGTGCGCAGAGCGATGGGTCAGCGGCGCCGGGCGGTGAGCGCAGAAGCGGGGACTCACATTCGAGACAGCGCGGAGGCTATGCCGCACGCTGTGCCGCGTACTGCAGAAACGTAGGAGCGTTCAGGGTTGGTGGATGCCCATGCAGCGCACGCGCGACGTACCTTTGGTCCCGAAAATCTCGGGTGTCCATCCATACAGTACAGCCCACATCGCCTGATAGCACGTAGTCAGGATACATCCTCCGCGAGGACACGCAGGTACGCACCGTCGCGCTGAGGCTGATCCCTACTGTGCTCGCCCTCACCGCCCACGGATGCTGCACGACGACGAACACCCAGCAGAAGAACGCGGTGACGAAGGTGCTCCCTGCGAGAGACCACCGCCGGCCGAGACGCGACTCGATAAGCCACGCACCCAACTATGCACCGTTAGCGCGAGTGGAGGCAATTAGAAGATTTGCAGTGACTCACGATCGCGCCAGGGCATCCGCCAAGCGAGTATATTACTACATCCCACAGACTCTCCTCAAGGGTTTTCGGAGCACCATCCGTACCACCGGATGGCGAGCGGGTCTCCAGCAGCTTCGGGAGGTACACGTTGAACATCGTATATGCTGGCGTCAACCATCAGCATTCTTGCATGCAACAAGGCGCACGAAGCACTGACCAAGCGACATCGCGCACCACGCCGCCCACACCAGCAACGTCGTCCTCAGCCACTCGGGCGACAGCACCATGGCGACGCGGTCGATCCACGCCAAAAGCGGACGCCTGATCCACCGCGGCAACCTCCGACCCGTCTTGCTCTCCATGAACGACGACGCGGTCGACAACCGCCTGCTCATGCGCACCCCGCCACGCGGCCCGCTCGAGTGCGCGCGCGGTCGTGGACGCGGACGTTCCTCCGGCGCATGGGTCGGGAGCACCGGCGCTGACGGGGTGCGCGCGAGAGCGGGCGGGCCGTCGGAAGGTGTGATGGGCTGGGGGCTGGCGCTGAGGAGACTGGGGCCTAGTGCCTGCGTCGACAATCGGCGAGGTGTGGCGGGTGGAAGTGGGGAGCCGAATGAATGCCCGTCGAGCGCGACGTCCGGCTCCGACATAGAGCTGTAATGAGATGTGACCCCGGCTGGGTCTCGGAGGGCGTCTTCGCTCCGCTCCGCTGGGACTACGTGGTCGTCTTTGTGCACGTCGTCCACCCCGTTCTGACTGCCGCTTGCTGAAGGTTGAACGGTATCTTCCACGTCTTCGGTGTTCAGGTCGATCTCCTCGCCGTTGAAACGCGAGATCATCTGAAGGGATTCGACAGCTTCCTCTGGGCGGCCCGCATGGACGAGGTACCGTGGTGATTCGTGCAATCTGAAGAAGACGATGCGCGCGAGGAACATCGACAAGGTCTGTGACGGGTGAGCAATTGGATAATGAGGCAAATGTTCAGCGAAGCACGTACAATGGTTCCAAGCGCGATGAGGAGATACTTCCAGCCCATGTTTTGCGCGGCGACATCGCACTCTGCAGGAGCTGGTGGGCAAGAGTTGCTGGGTATGACCAGCAGTCCGATCACAGCTGACAATACTGCGCCGAAGGAGAAGAACACTGAGAGTGCAGTCACCAAGTACTGCTTGCCCTTCGGCATGTGCTCAAGCAAGAGTGTCCCATCGGTAGGCATAGACCCCTGCGCAGGATTCAACTATACGATCGCAAGCGCAGACATAAGAAACACTCACCCCGACGGAGCTGCCTAGGAAGAACAGCGAGATGCAGAGCCACACGAACGAATTCGCGAAAGACGCAAAGATGCCGAATATTGCTGTCAAGAACAGGGTGGCGTTGAAGGCAGTCGTCCTCCCCATCAAATCAGAACCTGCGATCGCGATGAGTACGTGCAAGCTACGAGCCGAGTAGGATGCATGCGTACACGTTCCCCAACCTACCGCGCCAAACATCATGCCGGCAAACATGGAGGACGATAACGTCCCGACATAGCTGTCGCGTACTGTGCGACGATTGAGCAATTTCCTCCGCTCAGAGTCAGGGGCGACGTACTGGAAAAGTGCTGTTGTACCCTAGGGAGGATGATGGCTACGGCTTGAATCCACATCTGCATGATGGGTCAAATAGACCGTTCTGTACGATGAGGTATACGTACGTTGTCCGCCATCCAGCCTGCACAGGCTTAGTACGATGTCCAGTAGGCCAATGTACGCGCTACTCACCGAAACCGCATAAACAGAGAAGCGTCCATTGATAGCTCCCTGAAACGACCGCCTCGTGAAGAGATGCTCTATGCCGGGAGAGCAGGGGTAAACTCACCCATCCCAATGCGGTCTATCGTCCTATCCAGCGGCGTCCTGCCATCCAAGTCGTCCTGGGCGTCGTAGCCGAGGCTCTCGATGTCGACGTCTTCAACATCGCCCTCATAGGACTCCGGAACGGATATGTAGCTCATGCGGGAGGGAGTTCTCCAGAGACCTGAGGCACGGGGGTTCACGACAGACATGTTTATCCATCGACCGCTGCTGAGTAAATATTGCGCGATGAGACGTCAGAAGAGAAGGCGTATCTCCTTTTGGGAACGCCGAGAGTGCGTGTAGTGTTCGCTGAGGATGCCGGATGGAGATTAGACGGTTCCTCTGGCCTGCAGCACCTTTGTCGTCGTCGCTAGATGGTGGGGAGACGGACAGAGCAGTGGAGACGAGCGCGCGAGGGCCGAGGATATCCTGTCCCGTTCGCAGTCGGTCGGTGGATGGACAGATCGTAGCGCAGAGCCTGAGCCTGTAGCAGCGCCCGGCCTAGGAATGACGCCCGACGGAGTCAGGTGATCATCCCGCGTTCCTC